CATCTATGTGTCTGCAACTGTCAGAAGTTACTGGGTTAAATCTGCTGGACCCACTAAGCAGGTCAGAGGTACTATGAAAAACCCTAGACCACATGGAAAGGCCTCCCTGAAAGGAATTATGTGCTTTGATGTCAACAGCACTTGGGTGAGAAACTCTTAATGGACTTCCAGAATTTTCAAGTGTTTTTAAAAAGCTTTTGTTTCCTCTATAATTTTTCACCCCTATGGCAATCAAAAAATACCAGCTTTTTCCAAAATATATATGCAATTATACACAAGGTTTAGACAAAATATACAGCCTTGGGCACAACTTTATGCAATGATTCAATACATCCTGACCATTCATTCTCCTGACACATCCATGATTCAATCCCAACTTTTATGTCCAAATTTGACAGGCATACCAAAAACCACACTGGCTATCAAACGCAAAATATCTAGGAAATCACAACTCAATCAAAGGCACGAAATCAATGGCAAGTGACAACAAAACAGAATAAAACATGGTATGCCATGGAGATGTGCACTTAGCAGTTATAGGGCCCTCAAAAAGCAAATTAATTAGGAGGAAGGCCTATCCTCCTGAGTTAGGCAGTCTTTGGTTTCCCTGTATTGTTTAAGAGTCCCGGCACGCTCTGGGTTAAGACAGGACAGCTTCCAGACACAAGCTACTTTACATTATTTCTAATCTGAAGTCTTCCTTTTAGGGTGTGCATCCATTTTTTTAAAACTACTAATATATCAGAGCAGTCAACGTGAGCTATTACAAGGTTACATCACACCAACCATTCACATTTATCTGAATCCCACTAAAAAATGCCAAATATCCTTATAGACTCTGTTCTCGTGCTTCTTTCCTCTCGTTCCGTGAAGAATGAGTTATAGGGCACTTTGCGAATTTTACAACTACATTAATTAAGCCTAACAAATGTTATCATTACAGAAATACATCTCACATGTCACTGAAGAAAACATCAGGGTTGAGTGAGGCTAGGGTATGAGAAAGAATAGCCCATGAAACCCATTTTTAAGTTATTAAATACAATCCCAGAGACTTCCCATTGAGGCTGTGCCCAAATTAACTGCCTCTCCTGTTATGGAATATGTAAGCCCTTGTCTACTTTTGAATCCCAACAATAGGCTCCCAAGTATCTTTCTTAGAGAAAAAAAAAGGGGGGGGGGATAAAAGAATTAAAGAAGAATCACGGTAAAGTGTGTGAAGTAGACCCAGTGGAAGCAGAAGGCCTCATAGCCTTCCCTGGGAATCACAACATCAGTGACCCGAGGGCTGGAGGGATCAGGAAGTGCGCCGAGGCCAGGTTGCCTAGTCACAACAAAGCAGGCAAGGCGACGCCCGCTGCCCGGCTTTCGGGAGCAGCCCCCGGCCCGCCAGCGCGGCCTGAGCTCGGCCCCGGCTCCTCACCCGCTCGGAAGCGGGAAGCGGAAGTGGAGGTACCCGGGGGCAGGTCGGCGCCACGGTAAAAATGGGACAAGAACGGGTCGGGAATACGCGGCCCGCCATTCCGAGCCGGGCGCCGTGCTGCTTCGGGACCTTGCAGGGACCCACGTCCAGGGAGCCGGAAGCCGTGGCCCAGGCCGCCCGTGCGCCTCCCCTCCCCCTCCGCCGCCCCCGGGGCCCGGCCGGCGTGCGCCTCACTCAGCACGCCAATCACTTACAACGGCATCGTCTCCGGCGCCGGCACCGCCCAGTCACTTCCCCCCCGCGACCGCCGCCGCCGCTGCCGCCCTGGGCATGATCCACCGAGGCGGGAGGGACGGGGGCCTGCCTCAGCCCCAGGGCCAACCCAGTCCCGCACCCGCGCCCCGCCGCTTTAAGCGCTTCTCCTCCTTCCTTTTCGTCCTAACATGGCGCCCGAGCGCTACCACAGCAACGTTCTAGAACCGCTGACGCCGCCACGCACACCGAGCGCGCGCCTGCGCAGTCGCTCCCGCAGCGCCGCACGGCCCGACGGGAAATGTAGTTCTTGAGGTGGGCCAGCACTCGCCCTCGGTGATCTCATGCTTTCGTGGTAGTGCATGGTATAGGTGCGGGAGGCTCCGAGTGACTGGCAGTATTGCTTTTCCGTGGCTACGCTGTCTCGGCGGATGTGAGTGACGAGGCCCTGACAGCGATGAGAAGGGGGCGCGGTCCAAGCGGGCGCCACGTGCGGTGCAGTCCAGGCTTAGGGATGCCCCGGACAGTGGGGGAACAGTGGGGTGTTTGTTGCCCGCCGCCCCACCGCTTTGTGAGAACTGCTTACTGAACAGCGTTGCGAGCCCTAAGTGTGTTAGTACCCAGCACAGAGCCTGACCTAGAAGTGTGGCTGTAGATCCTCTCCCCTGACGATGGCCCTCTGCATCTTTGTTGCCCAAAGGTGTGCTTCTGATGCCCAGTGAGCCCAGGACGGGCGATTCTACACCAAGGCAATAATTTAGTAAAACAGTAACCACTAGGATTTTGGTGGAGTTTTATTTTATTTTATTTTATTTTATTTATTTTATTTTATTTATTTTTTTATTTTTTTATTTTATTTTTTTATTTTATTTTATTTATTTTATTTTATTTTATTTATTTTATTTTATTTTTTATTTTATTTATTTTATTTTATTTATTTTATTTTATTTATTTTATTTTATTTATTTTATTTATTTTTTATTGTATTTATTTTATTTATTTTATTTTTTATTTTATTTTTGTTTTGTTTTGTTTTTCAAAACAGAGTTTCTCTGTGTAGCCTTGGCTGTCCTGGACTCCCTTTGTAGACCTGTAGACCAGGCTGGCCTTGAACTCACAGAGCTCCTCCTGTCTCTACCTCCCTGAGTGCTGGAGTCAAAGGTGTGCGCCAACACGCCCGGCTTGTTTTGTTTTGTTATAAGACAGGGTCCCCTGTAGCTAGCTAGCCCTGAGTTTCTGATCCTTCCGCCTCCTCCTCAGTGTTGGGATAACAAGTGTGCGCTACCACTTCTGGTTTTATGTGATAGATTGGAATGTACTTCTAGGTGTGAATATGGCTTTGTCTTGCCTCTTAAGAGTTAATCTAATTGGGCAGGTCAAGGTCCTGATTACGGGACCACCCTCAGGAAGTAGGAGTCATCCCTGGTATGATGGGTTCATCTTAAGATAATGTATGTTTCCTTCCTAAAATTTCTACCCCCTGGCATACCACTTATGAGCCGCATGAAGTTTGGTGGGGTATGTTCGCCATTTTGTGTCATCCTTAGACAGGCTCAACTATTCCTTTTCAGCCAGAATTTTTTAGGGCTTTCTTACTCTTTCTATAAAGCTCCCTCCCCACCACGTGTCTATCTGCCTCCAGTTGGCTGTCCTCCATGCTGGCTTATCTCAGATGGCATGGCTTTCCCCCCTTCTCCTGGCAGCTGAGATTTACAGCTTGCCTGCCCTGGAGATTTTCTCCTTAAACTCAATTCTTCAAGCTTCCATTTGAGCCTTTTCTTACATTCTTTTATCGATGAGATTAAGAACCCCAAGAAGGTCCCCAATATCCCTGATATCCTTTGGTGGCTCCCCATAGATTTCCACTCACTTCTTTCCTGCCTTTACATTAATGATTGGCCCAATAATTGAACCTAGTCCTACACCCTTAGATGCCATCACTAGGATGGAACTCCAGGTTTTATATGTGTCAGGCAAGCACTCTACCAAACAATCAAGAGCAACAACTACCCTTAGGATTTTAGCAAAGACTCTTAGTTTCTGCTTTCTTGGGCAGGACCTACTTTGGCTATTTCACTCACAGAGATCTGTCTGCCTCCTCAGTGCTGGAATCAAAGTTGTGCACAGACACCACTGCCAGACATGTTATTTAAATTCTCTCTCTCTCTCTCTCTCTCTCTCTCTCTCTCTCTCTCTCTCACCACTGTGTCGGTGAAGATATGGGCCCAAGCTATGGCTTGTAATAAAAAGATCCTCATGTGTTTTGCAATGGAGGACTCAACTCCTGGTGGTCTTTTGGAGTTTCACAAATCAGGCACAACATACATGGGGGCGCGTCTGGGCCTCGGTCTGCTAGCTTGTCGGCTAGTGTACCATCTACGCAACTGCTCCCTGGCCACCAACTGTGTACCACCTTGAGATCTCAAAAATACACAGAATGACAGAACAGAAACATAGAACTTGGTCAAGACAGAAGCGCTTACGTGGGGTTCCGATCCTTCGGCTTGGGAGTCCTGGGAGGTCTTGGGAATCCTGTGAGCCCCTAAGTATGTTATGCCCAATTCACAAGACCCCAAAAGACCACCAGGAGTCCATTACAAAACACATGAGGATCTTTCTATTACAAGCTAGAGCTTGGGCTCATACCCTCACTGTTGCAGCAGTTGAGAGTGGAGCCTCATTGCTCAGGGTAGGTGGTTGATTTAAAGATTCCAGTCCCTCCCAGTGCGCCCAAAGCAGGATAATTCATGCCTGGCAAGTGTCTATTGGTTGAAACACAAAAGGGGATGTTGCATTTTGATCTGACTGGCTATAGGAAGGCCCCCAAACCATTAACAGTCTGGCTTCCCTTGTTTGGCTGTCCTAGGGGAGAGGGTCTATCTGGACCAGTTTCCTAGCAACTGTATCTCTAGTGTGCAGGAAAAGAATGCAGTAAGGCTGGTTCCTCCCCACAAGTGGCTGGACATGTTTCCACTTGGCTGGCCTTTGTTCAGGCTTGTGCTTTAAACTTTAAACCAATACAAAAAACGAATTTTTAATTCTTCGGTCTCTCACTTAACCAATAAAAGAAACCATATTCTTCTCAGGACAATGCTAGAAATTTTACCAGCTTTTTTTAAGTGGAGGTGGGGAGTTATGACTATTCTGAGAAATTAATTTGTAGTGCATATTCATCAATTTGTAATTATAAGGGGTAGTATTACTTACCTTGACCCATGCCTTTCCCACCACAAACAAGTCAGTTGTGTGACACAATGGCTAGAGTCCTGGCCCTGTGCTTAAGAGCAATCTTGCAGGAACCAATCACAGCTAATGTTCTGGGATGCAATAAACAGTAGCCATTCTAATTTATTTCATTTCTGACACTGCTGGAGCCATAACAAATTATGTCAAATCACTAACCAACACGTTACAATTACACGTACACAACTTCATGTTGTAATTTAAATTACTACAAATGTGCTATTGCAGAGTTATAATTGACATAAGAATAACATTAAACCGCTAATTCCTGCGCTGTGCGAGTATGCCTTATCTTTTCAAATATTGTCTCAATTAAGTAGTGGTCACTCATTGCCACTTTTCTAAAGATTTTTTAAAATCTTTATTTGCATTGATGTTTTGCCTACATGAATGTCTGTGTGAGGGTGTCAGATCCTCTGGAACAGGAGTTACAGGCAATTGTGAGCTGCCATGTGGGTGCTAGGAATTGAACCCAAGGCCTCTGGAAGAGAAGCTACTGCTCTTAACTGCTGAGCCATCTCTCTAACCCACAATGTAGTTTTTTAATGATTCTACTTTATTAAGATTCCCCCCTCACTCATTCTGACCCAAAGGAAACCTAAAAAGGCATTTTTAAAGGCAATTTTTCAAATTACTAATTTAACTTGAGCCCTTCCTCTGAAGTTCTGTGACCCAACATTGATGATTTTTTACTTCATATCAGGATTGTTCTTGAAAAGATACTCCGCCTACAATAAAACGAAAACAATTTATTTTTTAATATTTTAAGTCTGTGTGTGTATGTGTGTGTGTGTGTGTGTGTGTGTGTACATGTGGCAATCAGAAGACAATCTCAGGTGTCACATCTTACCTTTCACACCTTGTCTTAGGCCCTTTGTTGTTGGCTACGGTGTACATCAAGCTAGCTGAGCTGTAAGCTTCTGGGAACTCTGATGTCCCTGCCTTCCGTCTCACCATAGGAGTACTGGGATTACAAACACGGGCTATAGCTTCTAGCTTTATCTAGTTCTGGACATTTGAACTCAAGTTCTTTTGAGTAGCAAGTGTTTTACCAAGTGAGCCATCTTCTTAGCCATAAGTCAGCAATTTACCAGACATTTGTTGCTATGGATTTGTGTTATCAGTGTTTATGATTTTAAAGAGTATATATTCTCTCCTTCTGTCTTAGGGCTTCTATAGCTGCAACAAAACTCCAGTGAACAAAAAGCAAGTTGGGGAGGAAAGGGTTTATTTGGCTTACACTTCCACAGTGCTGTTCATCACCAAAGGAAGTCAGGACAGGATCTCAAGCAGGACAGGAATCTGGAAACAGGAGCTGATACAGAGGCTAAGGAGGGTGCTGCTTACATGGCTTGCTCAGCCTGCCTTCTTATGTCCCGGCACCAACAGCCCAGGGATGACACCACCCACCATGGGCTGGGGCCTCCCTAACTGATCACTAATTGAGAAAAAATGCCTTACAGCTAGATCTTATGAAGGTGTTCCCTCAACTGAGGCTCTTTCTCTGATGACTCTTAGTGTCAAGTTGACACAAAACCATCCAGTACACCTTTCATAACAATCACAAAAGACCATGGATGGGAGAATGGCACCTGAGCTCCCACCTCCAGCTGAAAAACTGCGGACAGTTGATCACTGCTAGGGGACGAACAATCTTTTTTTAGGGGTGCAGTCCACTGTGGTTGCCCATATCCATAGGAAAGCACTAGTCAGACTCAGTGGGTTATTCAGACAAACAAAGGACATCAAGTTGGAAGGGGGTGTGGGAAGGAGCCTGAGGCTGTTCCCACAGGGCATTAGGCAAAAGTAGGATCAGAATTGTATGTATATGTAAAGTTCCCAAAGACCGTATTTAAAATATGTATTTATTTTTATAAAAGGACACTCAAAAGAGGAAAAGGAAATCTTAGTGTAAACCATGAATGGAGCAGAAGCTATTTCCTAAGCAAGGAGGTGTGCGTTTCTCAAACTCAACCAGCCTTCTATTAAGTGTCAGTCACACTTCATTTTCAACTTGATATTTTTAAAAAATGAAATCTTGAGGCTAAAAAGATGACTTGGCAGCTGAGAGCACTTGTTTCTCTTGCCGAGGACCTGGATGTGAATCTCACCCCCAACACATGTGCTCACAACCATCTGAAACTCCAGTTTCAGGAACTCCAGCACCCTCTTTCTGGCCTCCATAGCCAATGCACACACATAGTGTACACAGATACATGCAAACAAAACAGCCACACACATAAAATAAATGACACTTTAAAAACATTGTTTTAGAGAAATCTTACCAGAAAGTCCACGGGGTCTTCGGGTCTCACCTTGCAGCACTCGTTGAGGCCCCGCATCAGCGTGGGCATCACGTAGGTCATCAGATAGTTCCTTAAGGGGATGGACTGAGCCTCCAGCAGCTCCCTCTCCTCTCTCTTCACTTCCTCTAGCCGTTTATTCTAAGGACACAGCACATAGGCAGGGAGCGATGCATAGTCAGAAAAGGAAGAGCATGACAGCACTTGACACTGTTGTCCCCATAGGGATTAGGACTGGACCCTGCTAAACAATGTCACTGTGGCATTTCCAGTTAGCAGCAAAGGGTGGAAGAGTATTATGACAACAGCCAGTGCGCTGAGGAAGCCAACCTTGAGCTAACGAACTTTTCTTTGGCTTTGTGTTTTACATGTTTATTCCTATGGCTTTTAAAAGTGTATGCAAAGTTTTCTGTGGTTGTTGTTCATATACAAAGTGTTAGGTTTCATTGGGGCATTTTGAAACATAATTTGTAAATTTCTTCATCCTCTTCCCCAACCCGTCTTTCTCATTTCAGAGTAGGGACCTTCAATTGAGACCATGCTCCCACCAGATTGGCCCGTGTTTCATTTTCTTGTTTGATTAGTGATGTCGGAAGGCCCAGCACCCTTTGGCCAGTGCTACCCCAGGCAGGTGGACCTGTGTGCTATAAGAAAGCAGGTTGAGCAAACCATAGGAGTAAGCCAGTGAGCTGGGCTCCTCAATGGTTTCTGCCTCAGTTGCTGCCTCCAATGCTTGTCTTGAGTTCCTTTGATGATGGATTATGATTTGGAACTGTGAGCTTGAAATAAACTTTCTTCTCAGTCATGGAGTTTTATCACAGCAATATATAAACACCAAGTAAGACAGTATCCCTCTGGAACCAGAAGCCTAAATAAACCCTTCCTTCTTTAAGTTGTCTTGGTCATGGTGTTTTATCACAACAATAGAAAAGTAACCAATACAGCCTTGCACAGAGACAGTTTAGAAATAAGTATGAAAATGTCAACTATTTCTAATCTGGCTCAGCAAACATTAGGCTGTTGCTATTCATCGGTCCATCAAAGTCATAAAGAACAGAGGGGCGATAGAGGAACCAGGGCACTCTTGTGCCCAGTGTCAGAAAGACACACTTGCACACTACAGTGGAAAAAGGGACTGTCACATATGTGTTGGGGTTATCTTTTTGTGCACTGTGAAAAGATTGTCTTTGTATATTCAACTGCTAATTTCTGTACCAGCAGAGAGCTTAGTACAGACAGACTGTGGTATTATTAAGCATCATCTGTTTCAATGTTTTGTAAACATACATTTCACCCCACCTTCTGATTGGTGTAATAAAGAGCTGAACAGCCTATAGCAAAGGCAAGGGAGGAAGGCAGAACTTCTGGGCAGAATAGGAACTCCGGGAAAGAATCAGGTGGAAAGAGTCGCCAGCCAGACACAGAGGAAGAAGCAGTGCCAGGACTAAGATTGAGAAGTAATGGGCCACGTGGTAGAATATAGATTAATATACACAAGTTAATTTAAGTTAAGAGCTAGTTGGGGAACAAGCCTAAGCTAAGGCCAGCTTTCATAATAAATATAAAAAGTCTCTGTGTCAGGGCTGTCTCTGACATGAACTCAGTGGCTGGCTCTTTGATCACCTCCACCTGGTGGGGGTGGGGGGAGCAGCCTTACAAGGCCACAGAGGAAGACAATGCAGACAGTCCTGATGAGACCTGATAGGCTAGGGTCAGATGGAAAGGGAGGAGGACCTCCCCTATCAGTGGACTAGGGAGAGGGCATGGGAGGAGAAGAGGAAGGAAGGTTTGGGAGGGGACAAAGGAAGGGACGGGAGAGGGGGCTATAGCTGGGATACAAAGTGAATAAATTGTTATAAATTTAAAAATAAATTTTTAAAAAGTCTGTGTCATTATTGGGAGCTGGCAGTTCAATAAAGTCCCATTATAATTGGCCCAAATGGTTATATTTGGCACCCAACATTTATATGTATGTGTTATTAATAACTGTTATTGTTCTAATGTTGCAAAGGGACACCATGACCAAAGCAACTCTCGTAAAAGCAAGCACTTAATTGAGAGTTTGCTTATAGTTTCAGAGGGTCATCCATGATCATGAGGGCGGCAAGCACACAGGCATGGTGCTGGAGCAGTAGCTGAGAGCTTTATATCCTGATCTACAAGCAGAAGGAAGAGAGACACTGTGCCTGGCATGAGTTTTTGAAACCCACCAACAATGACTCACTTCCTCTAACAAGGACATACCTACTCCAACAAAGATGTAACTCCTAATCCTCCCCAGTTTATCAACTGTGGACTAGGCATGCAAATATGTGAGCCTATTGGGTATTCAAACCACCATAAGCACATACACACTATCAATGATTTGTTTGTTCTGGGTTAGCCATCTTCTGTCCCCAGGGCTGATGGCTCTGTCAGACCATAAGGTTGGCACCTGCAGCCCCTAGCTAGGCTCAGTGTTTCAAGAAGTCAGAGCCAAACCATCTATAGAATGAGCAGATGGCACAAGGAGTGGCAGCAAGAGAGTCACAGACCTATAAGGCCCACAAATGTGTCTGTCCAGAAGGGCACAACTTAGCTCCAAAGAGACAGAATGCTTTTGGAGTTTTCCCTACTCTATATAATTTGCTGGTTGAACATAACATGTAAGGCGGTCTCACCCCCTCCCACCCCATCTCTGTCTTTACCCTGGCAGCTATTTCTCATGGGTTCTCAGACTGGACCAAGGTCTCAGGGTACTAGGTTTAAACAGTACATATTTCCCCCTTCTGAGTCTATCAGCGCACTTTTAAAGATTTTAACCTGCTGGCTTCTCAGATTTCCAGTTCTTTGAATAAAGTATGACCTAAAGATGCAATTCCTGGGGCTGGAAAGATGGGTCAGTGGTTAAGAGCCACTAGTTGCTCTTCTGTGGGACCTGGTTTGATTCCCAGCACTCACATGGTGGCTCACAACCATCTGTAACTCCCTCTTCTGGCCTCTGCAAACACTCTGCACACAGTACCCAGACATACTGAAGAGCTTAAGATAGCCTGAATATAACTCCATTTTGAAATAAAGATCTTGACTGGGAACTGAATTCAGGTACCAGGAAATATCACAGAACGTACACCTGGCAGAAAACAAAGTTAACTCTCCTAGCAACAACCTCCAGGAAATATAACAGAATAAATGCTTCATAGAAAATAGAGGCAAACTCCCCGGCAATAATCAATGGGAATTGGTTGAGAATCGGGTGGGAAAATTCTCCCCAATGTTTCAGATATGGTTTAGAAAAATAGCCATTGTGATTATATGCCTTAGCCATTGTGATTATGTGCCTCAGAAAAGGTCACCCCGCCCTGCTAAACTTCACCCAATTCTGTAACGCCAAGGCTTGTGCCCCCCTGCTTGCTGCCATGGAAACCCCCGGTTCACAGACTTTCCCTTTAAAAATCCTGTTCACTCAGAGCTCGGGGTCCCACTTCTCTACTGCTGCGCCAGTGAGACTTGGGTCCCGAGTTCGATCACTCTGGTAATAAAGCTCTCTTGCAATTGCATCGAGTCGTCTCCTGGTGGTCTCTGAGGGTCCCGTGAACCTGGCATAACAATACATGCAGGCAAAACACCCATACATATAAAAATAAAATAGAAATTATTAAATTCCTCTCTGTGTCACTGGCCTCTGTGACGACAGACAGGTGTCCTGGTCACCAAAGGTGTGTGCATGAAAGCTTGCCCCCACACACTTTATTCCTCAGTATTTACTGAGTGGCAAGCCAGATTGGAGTGCTAATTTTGGAAGCAGAAGCACTGGATTTCACGCCCTGAGGAGTGAATAGAGTGAGGCTGCCCACCTAAGTTAGACAGATGGACAGACGAAGGAGAGTGAAATCACAAGGTCATCACACCACGGTGTTAACACATTCATGTATACAGTAATATGCTTCTAATAATCTCATTTGTAATTTTGCGTGTATTTGCCTGCATGGATTAATGTGCACCGCATGTGTACAGTGCCCACGGAGGCCAGGAGAGGGCGTCACGGACCACAGATGGTTGTGAGCCTTTGTACGGGTGCTGGGACTCACACCCAGCTGCTCTTCTAGAGCAGATTTTTACTATCCGAGCCATCTGTAGCCCATATTATGAACACTAATGGCAATGGCTGCTTATTGATACAAAGTAAAACATCACGGATGCCTTCTTGAAATAGCGCATGTAACAAGGGAAGCTGTCTGGAGCATGTCTGTGCTGGCCTAAGTGAGTTAACCCCACCTTCACAGTCTTGCACTCACCCACTCCTCCCAGCGGGCTATCCTCTCTGCCATCTCCACAGCCTCCTTGTGTTCCAGTTCTGCTCTCTCAGCGGCCTCCTTGGCCAGGAGTTCCTCTGCAGCTCTCTTCTCCAATTCTGCCTTTTCTTCATCTGTTAAGCCATAATTCCGAGGCTCCCCAATCTCTTTGATGAGTTGTTTGATGGCAAGTCTGTTATGAGCATCTTCAAGTTTTCCTACATCTTTAAATACCAGAAGAGAGAAGATCTACACATAGAGCCGAGACATGTCTATAATTAGAACAGCACTCTCTACAATGTGAGAGAGAAATGATCACATCAATGTTGCATTTTCCACTTAGCAGTGAGGCTCAGGCTTTCATTTTCAAGGGCAGTTACGACAATGGAGTCTGAGAATCAGAAATAGGAGGATTTGGGCTTATGTCTCACAGTTCTTTTTCTGTCTGTCTGCAACAAGATAACTCTCTATGGCCTTAAGAAAACTAGAATTTGCTATGTACACTAGGCTTCTGTCCTCCTAAGTGCTGGAGGACACCTATGGCCCCTCTGAGTTCTGGAAGTCATCATCGATCTTAGTGGATGAACACAGGAATGGACTACTATAGTCTGAATTTGGTGTGTGTGTGTGTGTGTGTGTGTGCGTGGTATGTGTATATGTTCGCATGTTTCCATATGTGTGGGCACACATATGTTGTAGGTGCACATATACATGTGTGCACATACATGTGGAAGCCTGAGGTTGCCGTCAGGTGTCTTCCTTAATTGCTCACCACCTTATTAATCAAGGTGTGGTCTCTCAGTTTAACCCAGAGCTCACTGATAACAACCAGTGTAGCTAGCCTGTTTGCTCTACTGTGGAACTATAGGCAGGCCACCATGCCCATTCACTGCTCATATACCAGCTGTACAGGCTGCACATTGCTATCAGATGGACCATTTCCCTTTGTTTTCATATTTATTTTATTTTCAGTTATGTATGTGAGATGGGGGATATGTTCATGAGTGTGCAAAGGCCTGCAAAGGGCATAAGAAGGTCCTGGATTAGAGTGTAACTACCACAGCTGGATTCCCATGTTCACTTTATGATAAACTGCTGCTTCAGTTAACTCACTGGAATATGGTGAAGGTCAGACTCCAGGAAGTCTGACAAACATCAGGGTCAAGGTCAGAGTGCTCCCAGGTTCTTAGACTTTGTCTACAGAGAATGTTGGCGGTATCTACAGTTAGGATCTCTCTCTTCCAGATTTTATTTTATTTTATTACATTTTTTGAGACAGGGTTTCTTTGTGTAGCTTTGGCTGTCCTGGAACTCACTCTGTAGACCAGCTGTTCTCAAACTCAGAGATCTGCCTGCCTCGGCCTCCCGAGTACTGAAATTAAAGGCAGATATCACCACTACCTAGCTTGGTTTGTGTTATTTTTGAGACATAGTCTGGATACAGTGCAGGATGGCTTTGAACTTATGATCTGGATGTGAAGAACTAAGCCATTAAAAGGACCAGCAGTATAGCTCAATGAAACATTTGCCTAGCAGTCATAGGCCCTGGGTTTAATCCCTAAAACAAAGAAAACAACAACAACAAACATTGAAAAAGCAAGCAAAGGGCTAGAGAGATGGCTCAGTGGTTAAGAGCACTGTCTGCTCTTCCAGAGGACCCAGGTTCAATTCCCAGCACCCACATGGCAGCTCACAGCTGTCTGTAACACAAATTCCAAGGGATCTGACACCTTTACGCTAATGCACGTAATATAAAAATTAATAAACTATTTTTTTAAAAAAAAAGCAAGCAAAGACTTTAACCTGCCACCTCTTCACACCTGACCTCTGACATTTAATTGCCCAGATGCCCAGCGCTGTGTGCACACTACACTGTATCCTGAATCGCAGGAGTAATGACAACCTTCGTGTCACTAGTGCTGGAAAACGTTTTGAAAGAGCTCTGTTTTTGGAGACTGTGCTTGCTCATGGGGAGCAGCTGCAGACACCTAATCAACCTAGACTGAGTTGCCCTGCAATTCAGAGTGTGTGGGATGAGGACAGAGTCTAGTCCAGCTCTGAACATAGCTCATCGTGGAACTTGGAAACTGTCAGACCCTAGTAGGGTGGCCTGAGAGCACGGAAAGCATGCTGGTCTAAGGAGGTTCAAGGTCCAAAGACAGAAAAGATCTGGGAAACAGTGGGAGAGAGTGATGTCTAGAGATAGAGGGGGGGGGAAGGGGAAGATGGGAAAAAGAGAGAGAGAGAGAGAGAGAGGGATTGATTGAGTGACTCCATCTTCTTAGGGTCTATTCAGACCCTCTTGAGGCCCTACATTTCTGGCTTTAATACACACTTCACCTGGGTGTATCTCTTCCTTTGCTTTTATGTCATCTCCCTGTTGTAGGCATGGAGAAGAAGCCAAATCCCACAGTTGGGACAGGGTAGGAGGTAGGCACACAATGGCTGCCCTTTCATTCCTCCTGTCCTTTCTGTTGTTAATGTCACTCCCTCAGTCCTTCCTGGTCTTTCTATAAATTTTCTTGGAGACTTTCTGGAAAGATAACAGTGACCATTTTCCTGAAATTTACCACTCTTCCATTGTTCTCTAATTAAGTACAAATGTCCATATGTGGAGGTGAGGAGCCCTCACATGTAAAATGTACCTGACTTGCAAAAACACATGTAAATGGAGGCAAACCCCAATCACTACCCAGAGTGGAAAACAGGCAGAACAGGGAGGTGAGCTGTCCCCTCAAACTGTGAACACACTCTTCCTTCCTCACTCCTCAACTCCAGAAGACATGTCAAGATCCAGAAAGCCAGAGGCCACTCAGGGCTTCACTTCATCAAGGGGGACCAGATTGCTCTGCACTTTGGAATCTGGAGATGAGGAGAAAGAGGAAGCTAAAGTACATTACTTCCTAGGTGCTTCCTTCCAGTTAAGCTCTGATAAGCTTTTATAGGAAGTGAAGAAGAGTACAGAAAAGACAGTTCCTGTTTTGGGATAGTTATGGGTAAGCTGAGCAAACTTAAAGACCTTGAGAGGTCTTTGCTGAGCACCAGTGCTTGGCAAGGCAGCGGGCACAGACCCTGCCCAGGGAACCTGGGAGAATGCTCACAGCAGACAGCAGCAAACACATGCTTCTTTTCAGGTATAGACTACTTTCACATTCAGTCTGTATAATAATAACATCCCAACAGCCTACCCCCAGACAAAACGGCTGTCCTGGAGGGCTGCTCAGTCACGCTTTACACCCCGTCCTCCCTCAGCCCTACAATCCTAGTCCCACAAGGCAGCAGGGTTCGGATTCGCTGGGGTCTTGGAGGTCACTTCATACCGATGTGTATTGGGTGAATTTCAATCTCGTCAAAGTAGTTAAAGACGGTTTCATCTTCTGTATTGACGTCCCGGTAGTTGCTGAGAGCCCGGAGGAATCGGTCCTGGCTGTAGTGAGTTCCCGCCACAACACTTTCAGGGAGGTTCATCACCCGCTCCTTCAGGAAATCGTCAGACGCGTCCAGACCACACACGAATTCTGGGGAGAAGGAAAACTCTGGGGTCAGCACGGCACAGCAGGGTTGGATGGCCATGCCTAACCAAGATGTCACCCGGAACCTCATGTTGCTGCAAAAGGTCTGTCAGGTTGGCCTTCTTATCACCTTTCCTAGAGGAGAAAAGCAAGCAGACTTCACCACTCCAGAGAATTGAAGCCCAAACAGAACATTGCAGCATCCGTTTTCTTCTCTCTCTTCCTATAAAAGCAGCGGACACTGAGGAGTAGAAAAATCTCTAATAACCCTGTGACCGTCACATCTCTAGGCTTTCACCCCTGGATTTGACATGCTGTGGGAAAGACACCCCCACAGGATAGGAGAGGTTCAATAAGGTTTTGGTGGAACTTTCTTTTTTTGCTGTTTTCAAGATTTATTATTTTTACTTTTAGTTGTGTATGTGCCAGTGTGTACGTATGCCATCAAAGAGGCCCTAGGTGAGCCCTGGCTCCGCTAGAGCTGGAGTGAGCAACGCAAAGTGGGTGCTAGGAACCAAACTTCAATCCTCTGAAAGAGCAGCAAGAACTCTGTATTAGTTACTTTCTGCTGCTGTGGTAAAACACCATGACCAAGGCAACTCATGGCAGGAAGGGCTTCTTTGCGCTTATAGTTCCAGAGAGATAAGAGTCCATCTCTAGCATGGAGAAACAGCAGGTATGCGGCTGGAACAGCAAGCCAAGAGCTCCCATCTTAAACCACAAGCAGGAAGCAGACAGAGACAGCAAACTACAAATGACATGAGTCTTTAAACTCGTAAAGCCTGCTTTTAAATAATGCCACCAACTTGGGACCAAGTATTCAAATGCATGAGTCTATGGGGGACATTCTTAAACCACCACCAGTCCTTAACTGCTGAGCCATTTCTCCACCCTCAGTGAGGTTTCATTACTTTCAGTGCTTGATGCATTTTGAACTGAATTTTATCCAGTTGCCTGGGTGATAGCATGGAATTTGCAAAAATGAACTCCTTAGAAGCATTTCACAATCCTAAACCAGGCAGCCCTGGTTTGTTAAAGCAATTAACTTCATTCTTTCTTTTTCTAAAATGTTTGTGTACATGCAAGAGATAGCTGAGAAAACCTCTTAAGCATTTCACGTGTCTGCCAGTGGTTTCAGAGCCCACAACACTCAATCCCAAACTAGAAAAGTGACTCAGCAGTTAAGAATGCTTGTTGAAACCTGGGCACACCTTTAATCCCAGTGCTGGGGAGGCCAGTGCAGGCCGATCTGTGAGTTCAAATCCATCTTGGTCTACATTTTAAGTTACGGGGCAGCCAGGATCCATAGAGACATCCTATCTCAAAAAACAAAACAAAGAGTACTTGCTGCTCTTCAGAGGAGCACAGTTCCAGTTCCAGAGTTTAGTTCCAAGCACCCACACTGGGCAGCTCAAAACTACCTATATCTCCAGATCCTGGGATCTACACTCCTGGGCTATGAAGGTCCCTGAACACATGTGCACATACCCACACATAAACACACATACATAGGTGTCACTAAAAAGAAAGTAAATCTTTAAAAAAAAATTTTTTTTCCTTGAAGATTACGATTATCTAGGTACTTCTAGAAACTTCTCTATCAACTGCTCCTGGTGTAAGAGGAGGTGAGAGACCAAAAGATTAAAAATCAGCAGCTATTATTAATATTTAGGGCCTGAACTAGCTGGGAGAGGTACAGCAATGCCCTGAGGGGAAGAACTCGCCTTACTGCATTCTTTCCCCACTCAATAGAGATACAGTTGCTAAGAAACTGGCCTATCCCCCTAGGGAGGGACACCAGATCATTAATGGTTTGGGGACCTTCCTATAGCCAATCAATTAAAAATGGAGCATTTTGACCAATAGATGCTTGCCAGGCAGGAATTGCCCCTGCCTTGGGCATGCTGGAAGGGACCAGAATCTTTAAATCACCCAACTAACCGGAGCATGGGGCTCTGGGCTCTCACCGCTTGGGCAGTGGGTGTGTGTGGGCCCAAGCTGCAGCTTGTAGTGATTTATAACAAAAAGAACCTCATGTATTTGCAGCTGAGTCTATTTATTCCTGGTCTTGTGGGGTTCACGAACTGGGCAGAACAGAGGGATGAATACAGCCCTGACCTTTGTTCCTGAAGGACCAATGAGATGGCCCTTTTCAGTTACAACCTTGACTAGTTACAACCTTGAAGCTGGGCATGCTGGTGCATGCCTGTAATCCCAGCACTCAAGGAGGCAGAGGCAGGTAGACCTCTGTGAGTCTGAGGCCAGCCCGATCTCTAAAGCGAGTCAAGGACAGCCAAGGCTACACAGAGAAACCCTGTCTTGGAAAAAACAAACCCTTGACCAGAGTTGGTAAAAATAACTGTTCTTGTATTGATCATAGGAACTTCCAATTATTCCTTATAGTCATATATTTCACAAGCCACCTAAAAAAGCAGGGGACCTGGGAGGTGTGTGTGTGTGTGTATGTGTAGATCAGAGGTCAGTGTCTATGTCTTCCTTGTTAATTCCCGTGCGTCTTATTTTTAACGTTGTTACTATTTTTATTGTTTGTGTGTGTCTGCACTTGGGTACAGCCCGAGTACAGTGCCCACAGAAGCCAGAGGCATTGGAGGCCCTGGAGCTAGTAGCACAGTTGTAAGTCACCTGGCTTTGGGGCAGAGACTGAATTCCTGTCCTCTGGAAGGGCAGCAAATGTTCTTAACTGTTGAGCCATTTTTGTAAACCTTCTCTGTCTATTTTTTGAGACAGGTTCCCTCACTGAGCCTGGAGCTCACCTATTCAGAGACAGACGGCCAGCATGTTCCTGGGATCCTTTTTTTTTTCCTCTCCCTCTAGGGTTGGCTTTTTTGTGGGGGTGTCTTCTGCTCAAGCCATCATGTTTGTGCAACAAGCATTCTGCCCACGGAGCCATCCTTGTCCCCTAAAGAAGGTCTTCAAAGCTCATACAAAGGTCACCGAAATGCCTGCTTGATGCTCTGCTGCCTAGTTCATTGTCACTAGTTCACTGTCAGAACAGCTCAAAGCTTCCAGGAAAACCCAAGATGGAATTCACTGTGCTGGCATTAAGGGGAAGCTTCACCAAGGCCCACCCTACTCCAGGAGCTTAGGGTCTTCTGACAAGACCGACTAGCCTCTAGAGGCAGCTACCCAGCGGGGAAGGAGCTGCTGTCGCAGGCCCAGCCCCTCGTGGCCTCGAGCTCACCCAGAAGCCAGAGCACCCACAGGCAGGCAGCCTTGTGTCTGGTGACAGGGGCAGTAGGAACTGAAGCGATGCTCTCAGGAGATCTAGTATCTCTGATACTCATCCCTGACACATTCTCTGATTTCTGAGTTTGTGCTTGAGCAGATATTTCTGTGTTTTCTAAAAATGCATCTAATTTATTAAAGTTTTAAAGATTGTTGCCAGGCATGGTGGGGCATGCTTTTAAACTCTGGAGGCAGAGACAAGCAGATCTCTGTGAGTTTGAGGTTAGCCTGGTTTAGAAAGCAAGTTCCAGAACAGCCAGGGCTGTTATACAGAGAAACCCTGCCTTGAAAGGCCAAAATAAAATAACATAAAAGATTGTATGGTATAAAAGAGATTGAATAGCATTCCCTTAAGTGTGTCCTTGGAGAGGCAGAGATAGCTCTGTGAGTGAAACACTTGCTGACAAGCATGAGAGCCTGAGTTCAATCCCCAGATCCCAGGCAAAAAGACCAGTGTGGTGCCCTCCGCTCAGACGTACTGTGAGATGGAGACAGAGCAGAACTGGCAAGCGCCAGGTTTGGTAAGAGACCTTGACTTACAAAAGTGATACCAAAAGTTGACTTCTATTCTCATAGGCATGTTTGTCCATGTGCATGCCTGCACATCCACACATCCACACACACACATATACACATGCACACACGCATGAGACCTTGGAGAAATAGTTTCAACTTACCAGGTATAATTAATTTATCAAAGGGAAACATTTTGCCTCTCATTTCTTCTTCTTCCTCTTCATCTTCCTCTAGTAAAACAAAAAATGTATGTGGTTATGCTTCTTCCGTAGTCTTGGGGGTCACAGTAAAAGTTCAAGTACTATTTTTTAAAATTAGAATAAACATTTTTGGTTTTTTGAGACAAGGTGGACTTGAGTTCACAGCAAGTCTGCCTCAGCCTCTCATTATGGAGCTTAGGCTAGCCTTAAACTTTCAAACTTCCTGCCTCTTCCTCTTCTGAACTGAGATTACAGGTATATGCCATGCAGACCTGGCTTCAGTTGTCATATTGTGTATATGTGGGTGTACATGTTTATACGTGTGTATACAGGTGTGTTGCTGTGTGCCCACGTACGTGGAGGCCTAGGGTCTATAGAGGGGTCTTCTTCCATCACCCTTACCTTATTTGGGGGGAAAGGTCTTTCCTGAAGCCTAGTACTCACGGATTTGGCTAGATTGGCTGACCGTCAGGTGCCAGGGTTCTGTACACCCCCAGTGGCAAGGTTATAGGCACAGACCAACTTTCCCAGCTGGATGCTGGGCATCAACCCTAGGTCCTCATGCTTTTGTGGCATGAAAAGCACATTATGGACTGAGCTGTCTCACCAGACAGCATGTTTTAACTAACAATAATTAATGGAGACCAGGCATAAACGGATTGAGCTTGGAAGTCATATCATAACCCTAATACCCGTTTACAGACAAATGTGTAAAGGAAATGTGGTATGTGTAGACCATAGACTATTATTCCACCTTAAATAAAGAAGGCCAACCACATGGACCAACCTGAGGACACTGTGCTAAATAAAATGCTCTAGTCACAAGAGAACAAGCAGTGTGTAATTCCCCATATAGGAGGGGCCTGAAACACTCAAATTCACAGAATAAAACTGTGGCACGTAAACTGATTGGTCTGCTCTTTGATCACCTCCCCTTGAGGGGGGAGCAGCCTTACTAGGCCACAGAAGATGACAATGCAGCCACTCCTGATGAGATCTGATAGACTAAGATCAGAAGGAAGGAGAGGGGGACCTCCCCTATCAGTGGACTTGGGGAGGGGCATTTGTGAAGAAGGGGGAGGGAAAGTGGGACTAGGAGGGGAGGAGGGAGAGGTTTATGGGGGGGATACAAAGTAAATAAAGTGTAATTAATAAAAGTTAAAAAAATTGTGGCAAGGTGATTGCCTGGGACTAGGGGTAGAGGGAAAAGGATACTTTCTAACCAATCGGTGATTCAAGTAGCATGTAATCCTAGTACCTGGGAGGTAGAAGCAGAAGGGTCAGAAACTCAAGGTCACCCTCTGTATACAGTGAGTTTGAGGCTAGCCTGGCCTACATGAGATCCTGTCTCAAAAAAAGTAAAAGCAAGCAAACGAAACAAAATAAAATAAAAACCAATGTCTATGGTGAAGAACAACACCTGAAGTCACTACAGCTGCAAGTAAGAGTAGTATGGGGCTAGAGATGCAGGTATGGCCACTGTGCTGGTGGGCTGAGGTTACCGTCTTGGACTACATGGAGAGCAGAAGCAGAGGACAGTGGAGCTGCAATCCATCGCCTGTGGACTATGTTTGCACTGACCAAGTATGGGAGGAGTCACATCTAGATCTCAGGATGCTGGGGTGGAAGCCCTTTTGTCACAGGAGCCCAAGCTCCCATCTCATATCTAATTTGAGTAATGTACTCTCTGCCAGCTTGCCATCCTGGCTAGTGTGCAGAGGGTCTAGCGCATACCAAAAGACAAGCAAATAAAAGGGTACAGGGTACAGCATTAAGAAGGTAGAGCTTCACCTGTAGTAGCTGGGAGAGCTAGCCCTGCCCCTCACCTGGGCAACACATTGGACCTGGCCCTGATAGGGAAAGCGAGGGTGAGCCAGCCTCAAGAGTGTGAGAGCAGGAGAGCTGGCCCGGCTCCTCACAGGCTGCAGCACTTGGGAGAGTGGGCCCTGCACCTTGACTGGGCAGCAAAATGGAGCTGGCTCTGGAGGTATGGGTGCTGGTAAGCTGCCTCAAGGGTATGAGAGCAGGAGAGCTGACCCTGGTGCTGGGTGGTCTAGCCAGAGCAGTGCTGGAGAGCTCACCTTGGTGGTGGGTGATAAGGGAGAGCCAGCTCAGCTACCACTCACGCCCAGATCCAGGGCTCTGAATCGGCCCATTCCAAAATCTATATCTGCAACTAGTTGGAATGTAGAAAAGGGCTGATTCAAAGCTGCAGGATCTTCATGACACAGGACAACGAAAAGATAACAAGGAGGAGGTCTGGTAAGGATTCAATATTGATTGTGTCACAGAAGCCAGAGATCTCAAACCAGACCAATGACTCATTGCAATGAACATTTGCAAGTGAAGATACGTGGACAGAGGGGTATACTGTGGGACACAGTGTAACATACTACAGCTTCCATAATGAGATGTTTTCTATGCTTTGTTTGTTGTTGTTGATTTTGTGTGTGTGTGTGTGTGTGTGTGTGTGTGTGTGTGTGTGTGTGTGT